CGTATTTGCAGCTAGTTAAAGTTAGTTAAAATCGAGGTTAAAATAATATCGCTATTGCTCGTGAAATTGTAGGTATATATAGGTATAATTGAGAGTATAATAAGTAAGTAATATTTTTGACACATTTATTCCGTAATTGTTAGTGCCATATAAAAGGAATATAGATTGTTATGCACTCTTTTTTGGGTCAAACTTAAAATGCCAAAATCAAAATTTAAGATATACGGGAGGAAATTTCAGAATGGCCCTATATTTTCTTAGTTAAAAGATATACAGAAAAATGTTTCATTATTGTTTAAGAATCTGTCGTTTTAAAAATAAGTATACGGGGGCAGGATCCGAGGTAGGATCTAACCTCATTTTTTTTAGTGGAACACCCTGTATATTTTATTTTAAAAATGTTAAAAATATTTGTCAAAAGAAAATTCAATATGCTACCTTTTCAGATTAAAATATACAGTGTTCTATTTAAAAAATGAAGTTGGGCCCGGCCACTTTTTTAGCTGAACCGTATACTTTGAAAACGCTGATTATTCAGTAATTACTTTTGTAATAAACATTTTTCCGTCTCTCTTTTAACTTAGAAATACGGTCGTTATGAAATTGACAATATTTTAAAATGTTGATCGTGCCACTTTAAGTTTGATTCACTGTCAAAAAAGCACTAAAGTTGGTTTTTTTCAAATATAATGTTGCATAGATCACTTTTGAGGTATGATTTGCGTGAACGTGGCAACAGCGGAAAAGTATAAAAATGGAATCAAACGTTTTTACTTTATACTCATGTATTTGTGGGAATGTCAAAAAACATACAGAATAAATTTATGTAATATTTTTTTGCACCAATAAATTCCTTATTTTTTTCTAATTAGAAAAATGTAGAAAAAAATAAGGAATGGTGCAAAAAATATTATATACATTTCATTTGAAAAAAATTTGGCGCTATATCTTAAAAACTAAACAGGCTATGGAAAATATAAAGTGTCCCCTTTCTAAGCGACTATTTTGCCCTAACGGTTATTTTTGATACTTATTGGTATTCCCACAAATAACTAAGTTATACCATTGAATATAGTGTTTTTATTCAATGGTTATACTTAACTTAATTATAAAGCAAACACTGTTTATTGAATTTTTGTTGCCGTTGCCACGTTCGCGCAAGTAAGTCAAAATTGACATCGTCGATCTATGCAACTTTGAAAAGTAACTACAAGAAGTGCAAATCGCATCGCTCTATCTTTTTTAGTTCCCAAATATCCCCCAAAAACATCGAAAACACGCAATTTGGAACACCCTGTACACATAAGGCCTAGAGAGGTTACTTTCTCTATGGATAACATTGCGAAACCGTTTAATCTGCTTTTGCTCACTGCAGAGCGCCGATAGGGTTTCAAGGTCTGGGGTGGGCCGCCTCCCCTTTACGCCGCCACAAACATTAAATTTATTTAACAGTACAATAACCCTAATTAGAAATCAATTCATCGCGCTGAATAGTGGGACTGCGACTGTAAACTGTCTCGACGAAGGTTGAGATTTTGTTATTTCAGCATAAAGCAGATCGAATTTCACAGACTAAATTTCCGACTTAATGTGCCGCAATGGCGCCGTTCTGTTACACTCATATATACTTCTCTTATATATATGGTTACACTATATACTCTGCTACAAACAACCTCGAGTTATAGATACCTCAAAAGGATCTGCAATTTTCGGTTGAATCTGTCCCTTTTATACTACGAGTAGACACTGTTGAAATCAATTACCGTTAGTAGTTACATAATGACATTCATTGATCAGCAAAAGAAGTCCATATAATTAAACACTGACGCATTGTGCGAGCGTGTTTTAGAACAATAACCCAAGGAAGCATTTATTTATTTTTACTCATCCAGTAATTTACAAAACGAATCTATGTTTCTTATCAATACGGAACGATACTGGGAAGGACTTAATCACTTTAATTTGATATTTAAATGAGAGTGTTCCGGTGTGACGAATGCGTTTTAATTGACGAGTTCCGCACTCGTGCGATTGATTGTTTATTATTACAGCTCGTAATTTTTGGTGCAAAAATATTGTACAACTCTTCCGTACACATCCAGTTGAATGGAACGAGCACGCTTGCATAGAGCCACTTAAATTAATCCATCCGGGATATAACAATTCTGGGTCACTTATGTCGTCAATCCAATCTACTCCTAAAATAAAATGAATAGGTTAAACGTTATATATGGTCAAATGGGTACACTTTAAATAATTGTAATCTGTCAATTATACATTCATTTACTTTTTTTAAGTATCCTTGAATTAAATGTTTCGTGATGATTTTATTCAAACCTGTATTTGGAAAATGTAGTAAAATTTTGTTATGTAAATCAAATTAACAGAAGAATGTTTTTCTGGCTTTGGCTCATTTACCATACAGGAACATTTCTACTATTTTATTTGTAAATACTATTAATAAAAGTTTGAATATTCGCTTTTAGTGACGTAAGAGTCACACATTTTATTTTCTTGATTTGCCATACTCGCAAGCATCGCTTACTCTAAGAAAAATGTGTCTTTGTTGTATTTATATCTGAAACGGAAAATTATACTTACACAGATAATGACATAATAGTGGTTGCTCAAATTTAGAGGTTTTGCGCCCAAACCCAAACTGAAACTTATCTTGTATGAGTCATTCGTTCTTTACTGTTTTCAAAGATTACAAAAATGAAAATGTGACTAGCACATTATTAGTACAGCAAGAAAAAATCTTGTCAGATATTTTTGAAGCGCAATTTGATCAAAATCGTGAGAAAAGACATTGTCTTGATAAATTTGATCTATACAGTTTCCTCCATCAAAGTTTTTTTTACACAGGGTATCTTAAATTGAGTATGATAACGAGGCTATCTTTGTTATTATTATACTTACAGATTCTGTTAAATGGCGAAGTTGTGTAGTTTTTGATGCTAATGGATATTCCGAGGAATATTCCGATGCGATATTTTGAAAAAAATAAATTCTTTCGTAGAGAATTCAAAAAAGGGAAAATCGACATTTTTAAAAAGTTCAAATGGGATAAATTCCTTATATTAAATGGACGCCATATTAGATTTTTACGTCACTCGATAGAGAAAAAATTACAAAACCAGTGATACTAAACACTTAGTATTTCATTTGCGAATCAACCCTACATTTTTGCCTCGAAGTTTACAATGTATTTCTTATGGCAATTATTCCATGGTCGTGTCGATGGTGACTATACGAGACCTCGTACGAGACAATAAACGAACGAATTTGGTTTCAATCATAATCAGTCATGGAATTATTTCCATAAGAAATATATACATTGTAAACTTCGAGGCAAAAATGCAATTAGTTTGATTTCCAAATTAAATACCTACGAAGTGTTCAGTATCACCGGTTTTATAATTTTTTTCTCTACCGAGTGACGTAAAAATCCAAGATGGTGTCCATTTAAAATAAGAAAGTTGATGTCAATATCTCGAAAAACGCCATTTAAAAAATTTTTTCCCTGCTTCCATTGAATTTATCTCGTCGAGTCTTGCAACTGTTATTTGATACTTTTTAGCGCATTTTTGCAAAAAATTTTTTTGTAAAAAGTAGCTTTTAATCTCACTTTGGCTGGCTGGCTGGCTGGCTGGCTGGCTGGCAGTAAATGCGCGCCCGTAGAAAAACGCTTGTAAAAAGACAAGGAGTGTACATGTAACTATCGGGGCCGTGTAATTAAGAACGTTAGGGATGGGGCTACAAGATTTGGAGTCGACGACATCTGGACGCCATCCCCGAGCGTATTATACTAACCTGGAGATTTTTCAGTTTTTATCTATCTTCTTCTACAGTTTTTCTCCGATTGTTTTCAAATTGGTGTCGTCGGGAAGATCTTGTCAACGCGCACAACTCCTGCGTGGCGGAATTTTGTTTTTGTTTCCTAGGGGCGAAATAAACCACCTTTTGCGCGGCGCGCTTCGAGGGGTAGTCGACTTTGGGCGCCCAAAAGTTTCTTACAGCGCGAATCGCGGTCTCTCTTTCTCGTGTCACTAATAGAAGGTCGAGCTATGTGAAGTACCCAAAAGTTGAATACGATTTTATGCCGGGATTTTAGCGAAATCTACCAAAATGGGAATTACGAATGAACGGGACGTCGGAACTGTGTATCGACAAAGGGAATGTGGTAACCCCCGACGAGATCTTACTGATGGTGGAGTCAAAACTTCAAACGCGAATTGCGAGTGCACGGTAAGTGAGAAAATGGTACCGACAAAGTGAACGTGGTAGCTTTCGGCAAGATCTTATTGATGGTGGAGTCAATATTGGCTAATAAAACACTGATCTGCCACACAAAAATGCGCTGAAGTCCCTTCGATCTCACACGAGGACTTTGATAATTTTTTCGATTGTTCTCTTTGTTACTCAAATATTTTTAAAAATGGCGATTTTCACTTTTTTCCAATCATCTACGAAATGATTAATTTTTCTTCAAAATATCGCATCCGAATATCCATTAGCATCAAAAACTACACAACTTCGCCAATTTAACAGAATCTGTAAGTATAACAATATAAAAAAGATATGCTATCCGACTCAATTTAAGACACCCTGTATACTTACCGCGCGGAAATAAACACATTTTTCGTAAGTCATAATCAGCATTAATTCAATACAAAGTTCTGCAAAATACAAATACTTTACCAGAGATTGTTATAGGAACTATTTTTGAATTAATATTAGTTATTATAATAATACTAGCGACCATTCACTTGGCTTGGTATATAAAGTTAACGATGCATACCTTTCAAACATTTAATTTTGCTACTTTATATTTCTTCATTATATCACGCAAGTGCAAGAAAGGACAGTTTTCGCAAGCCTTAATTGCCTTATAATTGAACTCGAACATATTTTTTGTTTGAAGTGAGGTTCATCATGCATGATATAGATTAGTATGTTTCTTAAGAGAAAAATTAATCTTTGTCACTTCTTATTTTCAGGTTTCACGTCTTGCTCCCCGAATCCTTGCAAGAACCAGGGAGTTTGCGTGTCATCACCTAAATCTGATTCCTTTTGCAAGTAAGTAAAAATTGCACAGCTCATTAACGCAAAGTATTATATCTTAGACCGGGTGCACATGAACTGCAAAGTAATCGGACGCCCGCCGAGATTGTTTTCTATCAAGATAGTCAAAAATACGTTGGGGGTAAGTAATGGGAAAATGCACAAGAGACACCGATACCTATCAGATACCATACTCCATTACTCCCAACGTCTTTCTGACTATCTCAGCGTCCCGATTACTTTGCACCTCATGTGCACCGGGCCTTAGGACGAGACTATGGAATTGAAGGCGAAGGCGTTTTTCGCCGAAGTACTTACTACATTTGGCCATCGGTTTTCCATGTTTTTAATCTAAAATTGTGTAAACTGTGACCAGTTACAGATGTGCTACCTAATATAAAGAAAATTGCGATCGCATAGCTTTTTGATGTATAATTTAACGAAAAATAGGAAAAGTACTTATTATGACGAATCTGAAATTTTATGATTTAGTTAGGCATAGCCGACTTATCTATCAAAAAAAGGATCCCCAATGAAGGTCCTGGAAGTTAGTACTGTATCAAACGCACTAATGATAGCATTGAGTTAGAAAACTAATGGAGGGAATATAATGGTAGAGGGGGTAAGAATTTTTGTAGACGGAAGTTGCCACAGATAGAGGCCACTCGCGTGGATAGGTTCCCGTGAAGGTACATTTTGGCCGACATTATTTGACATATGAAAACGCGGGTCCTGTCACTGTCAGTTTTCCACCAAATTCAAATTTTATTAAATTTGCCATTTTAAAGTACCTAATAATTTCGGATCGGTTTGTGCTCTGGTTTATATAAATAACTAACTGCCGCATAGTGTTTTTATCACACGCAATTTTGTGAATTGAGAATGATTAGCTGCGTATCATGCAAAATTTCTCATAAAGGGAAGAAACAGGGCATTTCCTTTCATCGGTAAGACATGTCATTTATCATGTTGTAGGCGAGGTTGTAGGTACCTAGTTTATGTTTCTTAGTTTTCCAAACGAACCAGTACTTCGAGCAAAATGGTTACCTAACATTTGTAAATATATCTCAAGAACAGCTCTCGAAATTTGCTTTTGTGTTCACAACGCTTTATTGACTGTGATTTCGACCAAACGTTGCACCGGAAAATGTTCATCAAATATCTCGTCAAATATGCAGTAGGTACTATCAAAACTTGTTTTTACAGCTAAACGTGTGTTTATAATATGAATATCAGGTGTAAGTTTTTTTACGAGTGCGGATACATTTTGAAACCAATAAACAACAAATTATTATTGAATCTCTCTGCCGTTGTAATGAACCTGAGACCAACCAATCAATTGTAGCTATTGATCAACACAGTGAATTTAATGGGAGTTTTCAAATTGTAGTGGCTATAGTAAACTGGTCTTAATTATACTCCTGGAACACATCGATGTATATTTAGATTTGTAATCAATGATTATATTAAATCTGCATACTTTCCCATCCTTGTCTATTTTGCTTAGTTTACTACGAGCATGTATTTTACTCCTTCTATACGTTTTTTTTGTTATTATTCCTATTAGTGGAAAGAAAATTATATCTCTACGCCACTGAAGTGAGACGCTAATGATAACGGAAGTGGTGTGGTACTTTAATCACAGTTAGAGGCCACTTTTGGTTCCCGTGGTCTACGTCTGGCCAAGCATTTGATTCCCTCCATTAGTTTTCTAACTCAATGAATGATAGACACTGATTCGGTCCTTTCAATAAGTGTTGATAGTAAGCACTGCACCAAGGGGTACTGATATTTTGAAAACGGTTTTGTGCACCGATACGAGATACCAGGCACTAACGAAGGTTTAGAGACCGGTCCGGTCATTAGTGCTTTCAAAAACTCCTGTTAGTTGGGACTGCTACCTGTTTGTTTTTTCAGAAGCCACTTACTTAGATGATCGATCGCACTATTACCATTGTTTAAATACTTTATAGTTGAACAGATCCAATGTAAAAATACTTGCCGTTATATTTTCTTTTGATACAGCTGTACTTTCCGCATTTTGCATCCGGCAAGTGGTGTACTCTATTAATAACAAACAAAAGTACGTTAAAAAAGTTGAGGATCACAACTTGACTACGCATTCCTTAAACAAGGATAAAGTATAAAAACATTAGAGGAATGTCGGTGTTGATAAGCAGATATATAAGGTGTCATTGTTTAGAATGATGGTATATCAAGTTACAGCTATCTTACATTATATGCCACGAGACGATTATCCCTTTAATAAAAGACTGCATACGTTTGCCGTTTCAGTAATAAAGTTCCATTTTGCCAAGTTTACTTAGCTAATTCTTTTTTTTTCAAAATATCTTTGAATTTAAACCATCATCATTTTGGTAGAAATTTTAGTGATTATGTACTTGCATTATTTTGTATTAGTTGCCGTTGCATGCAAAAATGAAATTGCAGTTACTTACTTATTAACCGTGCATGATGAGAGCATAACTATTTGTTTGTATGCAAGTTACAAAAAAGATTATCACTTAAGAAAAACAGCCCTCACCATTTTCCTACAGCTACTGCAAAGTGTTGCCAGGTGCGACGGGATTCATTGGTGCCGAAGCTATTTTACGCGGACAAAGTGCGGACTGCAGTGACGATGGACATTGGAAATGTCTCTAAATTACTATTTGTACAGAAGAAGGAACCTATGTGCAATTTTTTTGTATAAATGCAACAAATTTGTAAGACAAAACAAGCATTGTTTCTTTGATAATCTCGTATTCACAGAAAAACGATGCAATTTTTTTCATTTCTGATAAATGATTTCACTACCAGTATAGTATATTAAGATACAAGTGTATAATCAAGTCTTTAAAGCACGCGCAACGAGTTTAAGGGCACGACGCAAAGTGCCTTTAACGTTGCAAGTGCTTTAAAGACCAATTATACACGTGTATCTTATAGTATTTTTTATTATACCTGCAGTATAATTGAAAAATAGGAAATACAATGAAGTCATATTGACGTTATACTCAAATATACATGTCTAATTAAGTGGGCTGGGTGTTCGTAATTTCACGATTGCCATGGAAATGTCACTTGACGTTTGCTTATAAAAATCATCGTCTTTGTGAATTAAACAATTTCCGTTGAAAACGATAATACACCGTCCATTAAATCGATTGTTGTAAAATCTAAACAAACGTTGGTAGGTGTAAAATCCAACTCCAGTAAATCCTATTATAAAGAATATGAAAAGTTGTTTCCATGGATGAATAGGAAGTTACTTACGAATACAGTCTTAAATGCATCCATAATGCTGGCATATATGAAGAAAATGTCAAAGGTATTTAAATCTTCTATATTTTGGTGCATTCATTCAAAACTTTAAAGCAATGCTGCGATTAAAAAGTGGAACAGATTTGGAAGTATACCCTAAATTACGCGCGTTTGTGAAAGCTTCAACCAAAGGATAGGTACAAAAGCCAAAGAAATGTTCTGCATTTACAGAAAGCGACCTAAGAGGATTTTTTATTTCATCCAGCAGATGACAGTTTCAAAAGTCATACTTGAAGTATCGTTACTTAGCAACTTTAAAGCACGTGTGTTTTAAAGGCCCTTTTTCGCACGCATTTGAGTGTTTAAAACGGAGATTGTGATTCAGGTATAATAAAAAATTGATTTTTTTCACTACTAGCGTCTGATGACATGATTATGAACCTTTTTTCCACTTGTAAAGTAGGCTTTCTCGGCAGTTGTTCAAAGTGGTTAATAATGGGGACATTATTAACTAGTAGTCAATAATGAGAACTGTCACTTTTAGAAAACACAACCCGAAATTTCGCTCAGTAAACGTTTAGACAAGTTCTCTAAAATGAATAATTGCCACCATCAGCCATTTCCAAAGAAATTACATATCTAAAATTATCACATTTTGAAAAAATTCGAACGAAATTACTCTTTGAAAATATCTCAATGACAAAAAATAGGGCCTGGTTGACCTCTACTTCCACGTACTTGATGGTTTTTGCATGTTGTTTACTCTAATAGCCATGTCACAACTGTTTTTCTAACCACTGGTAATTATATTCCAGAAAATGATGGCAAAACGTACAAGTGGACCTAACGCATATATACGGTTTCCTTTTAAAGGAATTTTTCAAAAGAAATTGCCCTTATGTGATGGTTTTGTCCGCCCGTCTGTTCGTTCGTATATCCATCTGTTCCTCGTCTAAACTTGAAAACGAAAAGAAACAGCGACGTTAATCCTTCACCAATCGATTTCAAGGATTAGTGCTAAATATTGAAGGATCCTTAACTCGGTCCACCACGTTTTTAACGTCCATTTATTTCACCCTTGCAAAATACTAATAAATAAATTCGAATCTAGGGCATCATAATAATGCTCTTTGTCTATTTCCCAACGATCTTGGTGCATGATAACGATTTTGACATGATTTGATCAGAATACATATGGTCAATAAAAATACATCAAATTCATGTTTCCGGCATTGAAAGCTTTTACAACTCTAAATTCATGTGTGAAGACTAATTTTGGGTACATTTTGCTCTAAAACTTTTGACCTAGACCACAGAGAAGAATATTGAATTGTTACACATCTAAGTGTCAGGGAATAATCTAGCGACAGTCCGAACTCGATACATGCCCCAGGCAATGAAAATATGTTGATTTCTATTATACTGAGCCCACAGTGTTTCCTGTTCCCGTTTCACTCGAAGTCCTATAACTTTTGTTCCTGTTGAGCCAGCTTCCTGAAAATTAATAGCGTCCGACCCTCGATACGACCTTAATGTCCAAAGTATCTACTCGTACGCCATTTCAACATGATCGGTCACTTTTAAAAAGAGGTATAGTGCACACGGACGGACGGACAATACAAAACTATAAAGGCTCTGAAGATCCTTAATAAATTAGTGTAATTTAGAGTTTTGAACAAATAATAATAGGTATAAAGGTAACGAAATAAATTTCAATTGAATTCAGCTTTTTTTCGACTTCTAATAATAGC